CACCTCACCAGGGGCCCCCCACTACCCACCTTCAAAAGGGATCCCCCCATACCCTACCTTCAACCGGGGTCCCCCCACACCCACCCACCAGGATCCCCCCCCTACCCACCTCACCGGGACCCCCACACCCTACCTTCAACAGGGGTCCCCCCACTACCCACCTTCACCCCGGGGCCCCACTACCCACCTTACCAGGATCCCCCACAACCCACCTTCACCAGGGATCCCCCACTACCCACCTTTCCCCCGGGGTCCCCCCCTACCCAAACCTCACCAGGGATCCCCCACTACCCCACCTTCACCAGGGGTCCCCCACTACCCACCTTTTACCAGGGGTCCCCCCCCTACCCTACCCTTTACCAGGGACCCCCCCTACCCAAATTTTACCAGGGGCCCCCCATACCCTACCCTTTACCAGGGATCCCCACTACCCTACCTTCACCAGGGTTCCCCCCACACCCTACCTTCACCAGGGGATCCCCCCCCTACCCACCTTTTACAGGGATCCCCCACTACCCACCTTCACCAGGGTCCCCCACTACCCTACCCTTTACCCGGATCCCCCACACCCTACCTTTACCAGGGATCCCCCCCTACCCTACCTTCACCAGGGGTCCCCCCCCTACCCTACCTTCACGGGTCCCCCACACCTCCTTTACCAGGATCCCCCCCCACCCTACCTTTACCAGGGGTCCCCCCCCCTACCCTCCTTCCCCGGATCCCCCCCCACCACCCCTTTACCAGGATCCCCCCCCTACCCACCTTCCCGGGGTCCCCCCCCACCCAAATTCCCGGGATCCCCCCATCCCTACCTTTTACCGGGATCCCCCCCCCTACCCTCCCCCTGTACCCCTACCTTCCCAGAAACCCCCCCCCTTTTGGGGAAAAATACCCTAACCCACCCGGGTTCCCCCCCTAACCCATTTTGGTCCCCCCCCCCTTTTTCACCGGGGGTTTTTTATTTTTGGGATTTATCCCTTAAGGGGTTTTTAGGACCCCCACCCCTACCCTTTTTCGGGGTCCCCCCCCTCCCTATTTGGGGTCCCCCAAAAAACCAAGGGAAAAAAAACCCCCCTTAAGGTAATACCCTTAAGGGTCCCCCCAAACCCCCCAAGGTCCCCCACCCACCCCAAATAAAAATTGGGGTGGGGGGGGAAAATTTACCCCTTTTTTTGAAATAAAATCCTTAAAGGGCCCCCTTTATTAAACAAAACCCCCAAAATTTCCCCAAATTTTTTTTGTCAAAACCCCCCCGATTATTAAAATTTTTTAAAATTTTTTAATTATTTTAAAATTTTTTTTTTATTAAAATTAAATATTTACAAATTGTATTTACAAAATTTTTAATTTTCAAATATTTTTAAAGTATTATATTTGTAAACTATTATATTACAGACTGCTAATTTAAAATTATAATATTTACAAATTATTATTTACAAATTATTGTATTTAAAAATTTACAAATTATATTTACAAATTGTTATATTTACAAATTATTGTATTTACAAATTATTTACAAATTATATTTACAAACTGTTATATTTACAAATTATTGTATTTATAATTTACAACATTTACAAATTATTATATTTATAATTTACAACATTTACAAATTTGAATCCATCAAGATGTTTGAGCACTTGTTGTGTACCTCCGTTAAGAAAGTTCTGAAAATATATTTTGTTGCATATATAGAGATGCAATGTGGCAGTTGTTGCAAATGTGGCAGTTGTTGCAAATGTGGCAGTTGTTGCAAATGTGGCAGTTGTTGCAAATGTGGCAGTTGTTGCAAATGTGGCAGTTACGAATGTGGCAGTTGCAAGTGTAGCAGTTACGAATTTGGCAGTTGTTACGAATGTGGAAGTTGCAAATGTGGCAGTTGTTGCAGATGTGGCAGTTGCAAATGTGGCAGTTGTTGCAAATGTGGCAGTTGTTGCAAATGTGGCAGTTACGAATTCGGCAGTTGTTGCAGATGTGGCAGTTGTTGCAGATGTGGCAGCTGTTGCAAATGTGGCAGTTGCAAATGTGGCAGTTGCAAATGTGGCAGTTGTTGCAGATGTGGCAGTTACGAATTCGGCAGTTGTTGCAAATGTGGCAGTTGCAAATGTGGCAGATGTTGCAAATGTGGCAGTTGCAAATGTGGCAGATGTTGCAAATGTGGCAGTTGCAATGTGGCAGATGTTGCAAATGTGGCAGTTGCAATGTGGCAGTTGTTGCAAATGTGGCAGTTGCAAATATGGCAATTGTTGCAAGTGTGGCAGTTGTTGCAAATGTGGCAGTTGCGAATGTGGCAGTTGCAAATGTGGCAGTTGCAAATGTGGCAGTTGCAAATGTGGCAGTTGCAAATGTGGCAGTTGTTGCAAATGTGGCAGTTGTTGCAAATGTGGCAGTTGTTGCAAATGTGGCAGTTGTTGCAAATGTGGCAGTTGTTGCAAATGTGGCAGTTGCAAATGTGTGAGATAGGTGAGAGGTTACTAAAAGCAGTCAGTGGAATATTATTAAAGTAGATAGGAAAGGATATGTCAGAGAGTGAGTGTTCTCCAGTACAAGTAGGCCTTGTTAAATTAGACATATGGGCAACAATTGGTTATCTTTATTGTGGAAACGTTTCGCCACACAGTGGCTTCATCAGTCCAATATAAATAAGAATGGTGAAGATCAGAAGGAGTTTGAGTTAATCAGTCCCTCAGCCTGGAGTCGATGTAATCATTCCTTCAATCTTGATAAGACAGCATATGCGCGAGGAAGTGGCTTATATACTGTAGATAAGTGAGGTGCAGCAGTCATAGGTGATATCACAGTGGACAAATCCACATGTGGAAGTAGGTTAGACCTGTAGGTTAGGCAAGTGAAGAATTCCCTGTATCAAGAGGGACTGATTACCTCAAACTGCAGAACAACCACCGTGGAAAAGAAAATAGAATCCAAGTGCTTTCGTGATATCTCACATTGCCAAAGAACTGATAATGTGAAGAATCACAAAAGCGCTTGGAATTCTGCTATTGTTCTTCAAATATATAATGTGATTTGTAGGAACGTTATGAGAGTGTTCTGCTTTTGTTACCACGGACAATGACTCTTTTCCAAAACTATTAAATTACAAATCTATGTATTCTTTCTGTTATATATGTCGCCACAGTGTAGCTCTTAATATATCGCCACAGTGTAGCTCTTAATATGTCGCCACAGTGTAGCTCTTAATATGTCGCCACAGTGTAGCTCTTAATATGTCGCCACAGTGTAGCTCTTAATATATCGCCACAGTGTAGCTCTTAATATGTCGCCACAGTGTAGCTCTTAATATATCGCCACAGTGTAGCTCTTAATATGTCGCCACAGTGTAGCTCTTAATATATCGCCACAATGTAGCTCTTAATATGTCGCCACAGTGTAGCTCTTAATATATCGCCACAGTGTAGCTCTTAATATGTCGCCACAGTGTAGCTCTTAATATATCGCCACAGTGTAGCTCTTAATATGTCGCCACAGTGTAGCTCTTAATATATCGCCACAGTGTAGCTCTTAATATGTCGCCACAGTGTAGCTCTTAATATATCGCCACAGTGTAGCTCTTAATATGTCGCCACAGTGTAGCTCTTAATATATCGCCACAGTGTAGCTCTTAATATATCGCCACAGTGTAGCTCTTAATACATCGCCACAGTGTAGCTCTTAATATATCGCCACAGTGTAGCTCTTAATATGTCGCCACAGTGTAGCTCTTAATATGTCGCCACAGTGTAGCTCTTAATATATCGCCACAGTGTAGCTCTTAATATGTCGCCACAGTGTAGCTCTTAATACATCGCCACAGTGTAGCTCTTAATACATCGCCACAGTGTAGCTCTTAATACATCGCCACAGTGTAGCTCTTAATACATCGCCACAGTGTAAGCTCTTAATACATCGCCACAGTGTAGCTCTTAATACATCGCCACAGTGTAGCTCTTAATACATCGCCACAGTGTAGCTCTTAATACATCGCCACAGTGTAACTCTTAATACATCGCCACAGTGTAACTCTTAATACATCGCCACAGTGTAACTCTTAATACATCGCCACAGTGTAGCTCTTAATACATCGCCACAGTGTAGCTCTTAATACATCGCCACAGTGTAGCTCTTAATACATCGCCACAGTGTAAACTCTTAATACATCGCCACAGTGTAGCTCTTAATACATCGCCACAGTGTAGCTCTTAATACATCGCCACAGTGTAGCTCTTAATACATCGCCACAGTGTAGCTCTTAATACATCGCCACAGTGTAAGCTCTTAATACATCGCCACAGTGTACTCTTAATAATCGCCACAGTGTACTCTTAATACATCGCCACAGTGTACTCTTAATTACATCGCCACAGTGTACTCTTAATATATCGCCACAGTGTAGCTCTTAATAATCGCCACAGTGTAGCTCTTAATACATCGCCACAGTGTAGCTCTTAATACATCGCCACAGTGTAACTCTTAATATATCGCCACAGTGTAACTCTTAATACATCGCCACAGTGTAACTCTTAATACATCGCCACAGTGTAACTCTTAATACATCGCCACAGTGTAACTCTTAATACATCGCCACAGTGTAACTCTTAATATATCGCCACAGTGTAACTCTTAATATATCGCCACAGTGTAGCTCTTAATATATCGCCTCTCCGTTGTTCTCAGTGTATTTACTATTACTATGTTGATTTGGCTTTTTAATATTACTATTATTTAATATAACCTCTTAAGCCTCGTGTATCTCTCAACATCTCCAAGAAGTTACATTGACTTGTGTTATCCCCGATTAAATCTATAACTATGCTTACACCATCTTTACTTTCTCAAAACTCTTTTACGACGCCTCCTTTTTTGTGGAACCCTTTGTAGGTTTCTCGGAAATGAAATCTTGGTTTTAGTTTACGTATTTTGGGGCTCAAGTTCCCCCAACCTCTCCTCTCCATCCTAACTGGTGCTCCTAACTAACGTGTCGTTGTTGTCGTTCTGAACAGAGGCGACGTCAGAGATCCTGGGAGGACCTGAGAAGTACATGACGGTGGGCAGCTCGCTGAGGCTGGTGTGTGTGCTCAGGGACAACACTCAGCCGCCCACCTACGTCTTCTGGTACCACGACCAGCACATGATCAACTACCATGCTACCAGGGAGGTGCGTACAGTTACCAGCGCATCATCCATACTACTGGGAAAATCGATACCGGGGTCTCATGAGAATTCTGTTAGGTAAAACGACACAAGTGTATCTAATGCGACGTTTAACTGTGGCAACGTTTCGGTCTCCAGGAGTTTGACAAAGCTCATGGAGAGTGAAACACCTGTCCTTTTTTCTAACATATCTGTAATGGTTTTTAATACTTGACGTGCTGTTGGAGTGTGAGCAAAGTAACATTTATGAAGGGGTTCAGGGAAACCGGCAGGCCGGACTTGAGTCCTGGAGATGGGAAGTACAGTGCCTGCACTCTGAAGGAGGGGTGTTAATGTTGCAGTTTAAAAACTGTAGTGTAAAGCACCCTTCCGGCAAGACAGTGATGGAGTGAATGATGGTGAAAGTTTTTCTTTTTCGGGCCACCCTGCCTTGGTGGGAATCGGTCAGTGTGATAATAAAAAAAAAAAATCTAATTCTACCAACATTATTACAGAAGAATTCTGACGATATAGTGTTATCAAGCTAAACTTTATAAATAAAAAATCTTTATATTCTCAGATATCTTTATTTACTACAAGTACATGTACAAAGTATACAGACCTAGCTGACATCAATGACATACTACTGTATAGAAAGCCGCTTGTTATGCTGAGCATTTCGGGCCAATTAGGTCAATTTTGTCCCAGGATGCGACGCACACCAGTCCACTAAGACCCAGGTACCCAGTTTTACTGATGAATGAACATGGACAAACGGGTATCGAACCCGGATTTCAGCGTGTGAAGCGAGAGCTTTTGCCACCAGGCCACGGGCCACCACTTGGGAAAGCCTGGGAAAGAGGGTAGTTCTTAAGTGATAAAAGGTATATTCTTATGGAATACTTGTGTATTACAGACATTCATGGCTTTCCTAGCCTCCCCTAAATTCCAGGTGGCAAGTTAACGAGACATAATTGACATTTCCCCAATAATTTTGAATTTCTTGACCAGCTAATGGCAGACCTTACTTACATTTTTAATAGATGTTTTTATTCCTAGATCCTTAAAAAATTACACAATGTGAGAGCCTAAGATATGTGATAAGAACACTTTTATGTACATTGCTCTTGACTTGTAAATTCACCTGTGTAAAAAGTCCTCGACCATCAGGTGCGTGTGGAAAATAACGGTGGACTCAGCGTGTTATTCCTGAGTAACGTCAGACCGGCAGACTCTGGTAACTACTCCTGTGCCCCATCCAACGCTCGACCAGCACATATCTACATCCATGTGCTCAAAGGTCAGTGGCTTTCTGTTGTCCATGTACATGTCTTTGCATCTTCATGCCCGTCTTCATTTCATCCATACCCATTTTTTTCAGGATCTTAATACAATGAAGTCTTCATCCACGTAAATCTTCATCTATGTCCATCTTTGTCCGTTTTCATCCATTCCCATCTTTATCCATGCTAAGCATCATCCATGCTCGTCCTTTTTATCCATGCCCATCTTATATGTCCATGCCCACCACCATCCATGCCCATCTTCATGCATGTCCATCATTTTCCATTATTATGCTGGTTGACCATTGTCATCCATGATTATCTTGGATGAAGAACGTGGGAATGAAGATAGTCATGGACGAAGAAGGTCATCCAAGATAGTCAGGAATGAAGATGGTCATCCATGAACCCAACAGTGCTGTGCCGGGTGCATAGACCAAACGGTTCTATACTCCATGGATCACAAGCTTCTATACTCCTTCCATGGATCACAAGGTTCTATACTCTCTCCATGGATCACAAAGTTCTTTACTCCCTCCATGGACCACAAGGTTCTATATTCCCTCCATGGACCACAAGGTTCTATACTCCCTCCATGGACCACAAGGTTCTATGCTCCTTCCATGGACCACAAGGTTCTATACTCCATGGACCACAAGGTTCTATACTCCATGGAGCACAAGGTCCTATACTCCCTCCATGGACCACAAGGTTCTATACTCCCTCCATGGACCACAAGGTTCTATACTCCTTCCATGGACCACAAGGTTCTATACTCTCTCCATGGACCACAAGGTTCTATACTCCATAGAGCACAAGGTTCTATACTCTCTCCATGGACGACAAGGTTCTGTAACACTGTACGAACAATTTATCTTATAACACTGAAATGAACCACTTAATTCTGTACCGACGACGAGAGATTCTTGACACAACTTTCTCGGGAACAAAATTAAACTCCGCTAGAGCTTCAACTCATAGCTCAGCAAAGCTCTAACAAATAAAAGCTCTAACGGAGCACAGTGTCCTGCAAACAAAAGCTGGCTGTGCAACGTCTTTTTCCTTCCTCTTCAATATTTCCAGTAGTAAGCCTCCTGGATGGTCCCCTTCTGCTTCCAAAGCACAGACATGAATATATTAAATCACTGCTAATATACTCTGAACAGCAGCAGTAAAAGACAGCCAGCAAACAGCCTCCAGGGGCGGCGAGATGAGTGCCGTAAAGGGCAGCCAGCAAGCAGGTTCCAGGGACGGCGAGATGAATGCAGTAAAGGGCAGCCAGCAAGCAGCTTCCAGTGACGGCGAGATGAATGCAGTAAAGGGCAGCCAGCAAGCAGCTTCCAGGGACGGCGAGATGAATGCAGTAAAGGGCAGCCAGCAAGCAGCTTCCAGGGACGGCGAGATGAATGCAGTAAAGGGGAGTCAGCAAGCAGCTTCCAGGGACGGCGAGATGAATGCAGTAAAGGGCAGCCAGCAAGCAGCCTCCAGAGACGTCGAGATGAATGCAGTAAAGGGCAGCCAGCAAGCAGCCTCCAGAGACGGCGAGATGAGTGCAGTAAAAGGCAGCCAGCAAGCAGCCTCCAGAGACGTCGAGATGAATGAAGTAAAGGGCAGCCAGCAAGCAGCCTCCAGAGACGGCGAGATGAATGCAGTAAAGGGCAGCCAGCAAGCAGCCTCCAGAGACGGCGAGATGAATGCAGTAAAGGGCAGCCAGCAAGCAGCCTCCAGAGACGGTGAGATGAATGCAGTAAAGGGCAGCCAGCAAGCAGCCTCCAGAGACGGCGAGATGAATGCAGTAAAGGGCAGCCAGCAAGCAGCCTCCAGAGACGGCGAGATGAATGCAGTAAAGGGCAGCCAGCAAGCAGCCTCCAGACACGGCGAGATGAATGCAGTAAAGGGCAGCCAGCAAGCAGCCTCCAGGGGCGTCGAGATGAGTGCTGAGGAATTTTACGTTGGAATAATTGAATTAGAGTGAGGGAGCAAGAACTGGAGGAATAAACCTTGGAAGAGACGAGGACTTAGTAAATAGTGATGGAAACAGTGCAAAGATGACAAATAAAACGTAGAGATGGAAGTGGGAGTACATAATTATAATTAAATTATTAGTCTATAATTGTATTATTTTTATTTCAATTTTATTATTGCTGGATATTAAAGTATATGATGATAAATAGAAAAAGACACGAAATGCAATTGTTTGTGTTAGTTTTTTCTGAGATTCGAACCTGGTTTAGTGAAAATGGCAGAGCACCACACTACCAATGAGCCAGCACCACCCTTGTAGGATTTTCTCCAACCCATGTCCTATTAGGGTGATGCTGGCCCAGTGCTTCAGCAGTGAACTCTCATTTTCACAAACCCCCAGTTCGAATCTCTGTAAAAAAAAACTGTTGATACAAGCATATATTAAATTTTTAGAGTTCATTTTGGGACATGATTAATAAAAATGTCTGGGTCGTGAGAGAGTGGTCACTTGAATTGTGCAGAAGTGTAACAAAACTAAGAGTTTTAGTAGTCGGGAAAGCCCATGAGAAAAAGGGAGGTTTGGCGGCATTTCACCTGACTGTTGTGTCCAGCAGCGAGTCGAAAGAAGCTTGTTCGATGATTGTGTTCCAGCATCTCTGTGATACTATAATTTCATGCTTGTGACTGTGTTCCAGACAGCGGCGCCTATAAAGACAAAGTTCTTTGAAGATTATTCGTGCTATTGTCCAATCCATTGTATGTATGCACAGTAGCACAGATATACCTGGAGTAACCCTCTCCAGGTATGTCTCTGTGCTGCCGTACAGCATTCCTTCGTTGATAGAATTGTCTCTGTAGCACACTTATTTGTGCTTTTTTCAATCAAGTGGATAAATTCTTATTTCTCCTATGTATTTTCACAGTGACCAGACAGGGTTGTATGAACATCAGAAATAGATGTAGGTTGCTGAGTCGTGAATCGCCTCCTACAGAGTTCTTTGATGGATGTTAGTCACCGTAGTTGCTATGTGGATGCTGCGGACAACCACTGATGGCTAGACTGATGCTAAGGTGGTCTATATATACAGTAGACCGTTATTTAACACGGTGGTTACGTTCCTGAAAACACCGTGTTAGGTAAAAAAACCGTGTTACATGAACTGAAGAACTTATGGGAAAAATAGGGTTACGTTCCTGAGAGCCCCAAAAAAGCCAAACAACTTTTTTTTAGGCCTCCACATTTTACAAAAATAGTGAATATGTAATTGTAGCTCATTGTTGTGATGAATTATGTTGTTTTTACAGCTTAAGACTACAAATGTAACAGAAATAATAGTATTTCTTACCTTAAATTATGAGTGCTGGTGTTTGTGGATGATTGTGAAGAGAGCAGAGAGTTATGTTGTGGTCCTACTGGTCTGAGGTGGATGGTAGAGGTTCTGGTACTGAAGTTGATGGTTGTACTGGAGTGTCTAACTTTAACTCATTCAGTCAATCAAGTCGTTCAGTAATTCAGTCAAGTTATTCAGTAAATCAGTCAAGTTGTTCAGTAAGTCAGTCAAGTGTTTCAGTAAGTCAGTCAATTCATTAAGTCATTCAGTAAGTCAGTCAAGTCATTCAGTAAGTCAGTCAATTCATTCAGTAAGGCATTCAGTAAGTCAGTCAATTCATTTAGTAAGTCATTCAGTTAGTCAAAGTCACACTTTGTAAATGGTCCAAGTCGGACCGAAACGTCGTCGTAAGCTCCTCTCTTCTATGTGCGGGTTATGTGTATATTTCTTGGTGGTTATTGTGAACACACAGTCTGATGGCCTGTCGCAGCCAGTCTTACATTAGTCAGCAAGCAGAAGTATTTAGCAGGGCGGAACGAGGACAAGATAAACAAGCAAGAATACATTTCTTTCCCCATGTATTCCTTCACCAATATATATATATATATATAATATATATATATATATATATATATATATATATATATATATATATATATATATATATATATATATATATATATATATATATTAACTATGTACAGCGTAATGAGTGCAATACAGATTGGAAATTGTACAAATGAGAGCCACTAGAGTAACAGTGAACACGATCAGCAAGGTGCCTTGAAGATGTCACCTTGGCTGACTTTGCAGGCTTTCACGTGATGCTGTGAACTAAAAAGTATAACAGTAGGGCCCTGACCTGCTATACTCTGATTTGCAAATTCACAGGTAGAGAGGGCATAGCAAACGAGTGTGATGCACGTTGAATATAATGCAACATAGCCCACTCCATCCCCCCCCCTCTCAAAAGCGCTGTAATAGACGGGTAAGGTATCTCTCAATTGAGTAGTGTACCACCATTGCACATAACAGGACCGTCGTTCCTCTCGTACCATGTAACTCAACAGGTATTGCTTAACAAAAGTGAATAATGCCAAGCGCTTGCCCCTAGAGTGGGACAGTAGGGCTAACAAAGGTCCAAGACACATGGGGACGGGAACAACGTGTTCCTTCATCAAAAGAAAACTTTGTTTTCTTATCGAAAGAAAACTTTTTATCAAATGAAAAATGTTTTATTTTCATAAATTATTAACAAAGAAAAAAAAGTCAGGTTACCCATTATCTTAATGCTAACATTTACACGACATTCACAAAATAACACATCTTAACAATGAACCCCTGGAGAGTGAATCCGCTAGTAATATATCTTTGTCAGAAATGTGTTTTGACAAGAGTAAGGTTGCCGGGGGCAAGGCCCCTTCTGGGGACGAGCAATCTTGGCCTCAGGAACTGAGGGACTTTAAGGGATTGTGGTTCGTTGTTAAACCTTTAAAACACAGAAAGAAAGTCAAAGTGTCCCCCAAACAAGGGCCCCAAAGGGAGCGCCTCAGTTTTTGATGGCCGAGTGGGCCCTCTGAAAAAATTTCAGTTTTGGGGTAAAATAGGCACTGGGGGTAGGGCTCCCTTTCCAGAGGCTTTAAGCAACACTCACCCTAACCCCGCCTTACCGGCCAATCTGTAAGGGGAAAAAGACTTCCATAATCCAGAGAAAACAAAAT